TGAAAGGGTACTCAGCAAATCTCCAGAAGACAGATAACCCAGCCCCTAAGCAAACAATCTGCCAGTTGGAAAACCACAGGCCAGCCCGAATAGGACCAATTCTTCCCATCAGCCAGGGAGCAACCCATGTCGCGAGCACCTCAAATATAACCGACAGGGTTCTCGTAATAGCAATCTGGGCCGAGCTATAGCCTGCGGCCAGAAGCCAAGTGACCATCTGTGCCCCGAATGATAGAACGGTAAGATAGAGTAACGCGCCGGCAAACGATGGAAGGAAGACAGCGTGGTGAAGATAAAAGTTGAAATCTCTTAGGGCTTTCTGGGCGATGTTGCGGCAAGAATACCATATACGTACAATGGCGCTGTGTCGGTCTGGCGCCACGTGTGGTTGTATGTGATCATCTGAGCCCTTTGGTTTCTGCAGTTCGGGTACTTCATAGTATACCTAAGAGTTGAGATAAGATATATCCTGTACCGGTATTTTGAGGGTAAGATTGAGGTGTCGAATTTCGTACCCTGGCAATTGCAAAGTATTCAAAAAATACCGAGCATGTGTTCATCCCGAGATTGACAAGAATAGCCGTCTCCGTAGATATGCCATCTATAAGAGCAATGAACAGAGGCCCAAAAAGTTTGCATATCAGGTCAATTCGCCTCATCCTGGCGTTCATCGCTAATACAAACGATAGTTATATTAGTTAACTAGTTAGGAGCCACTAAAGGTCCTTAAACTGCGGTTCATACTTGTCAGTGCTGCGTGGTCTTCACCAGCAACAACCACAATCTGTCAGAACGTATTAGTAAAACTTTATATTATATACGGGCTGACATTCATATACCCAGTCTCTCTCTACTGAGATCATATTTATGATGGAGCATAGCTTCTCTATACAAGCTAAAACGGCTAAAATTGCCAGCAAGTAAAGATGGACTGTGCGCGTTGTTGGTGTATTGATTGCTAGCATATAAAAGATGACGCACGATGCGATCACCACAAGCCGCTGCCATACTAGTTATGAGATCTCAGTCACTCGATGGCCCTACATAAGAAGTTAACTGACTAGGCGTGGTACCCGAGGCACACGCTCACCAATGGAAAATCGAACAACCCGGAGCCGATTGCCGATATCAATATAGTGCCCAACCGCCGGCGCGGAAAGAATAGCCGCCACACCACGGGAAGAGCATAGACAGACATAGGTAGCAGTGTATGCCGGTAGATCGATGCTAGGTATAAGACAGCCCCGAACTCGAAGACGCGGGAGTTCCATGTTGACAGGAAATGCGAGATATATAGACGAGAAGAGATCCGTTTATGAACCCAATTCTCTTGACTTCCGGCATCATTGGAGCGCGAATCTAAGAAGTCACTAGTTTCCTCATGGGCAATCAGAGCGCTGTCCTCGCCAAGGGCGGGCTGCTCTCTTAAACGTGCTGCCATGGGTTCGATGATCGGTGATAGCAAGGACAAGTGAGAGACAGTTATTAACTAGTTAATTGAATTGGTTAATAGCCGGATGAAATATTGGAAACATCTCGACTCGAGATCCAAGTAAACTACAATAACTCCCGAGGCTCTATCAATAGCCATTTGATACGTGGAATACGAAGGTTGGAGACATGCTGGTGAATATCAGTTGAGTTGCGAGTTCGTCGACGCGCTTGAGCATGAAATATTATTGGTCGATAAGCGAATTGGATTAACCATCCATTACCTCTTAAACTCTCATTAATCAGCAAGATTTATGTAAGTAAATGACCCACGATATCGATGTCACATGCTCTTACACAAGGTTCTCTCCTGTCTCGCTTATGCTGGGCGAAGCTTTTGTGTTACTATATTAGATCTATTATTATATTAAAGGAAAAGGCAAGGAAGAGGTAAATGTGGTTTGAATCAAACGTCTTGCAATTGATAAACTAATAGTAAGGTGAGAGAGACTATGGCGCAGACTACTAACTGGAGAGCTATATGTATATCTACCCGTCTATTATAGTGACCCACGATGCCAGTCACCCCTTTGCAGTAGAGGTCTCGGTGGTCGCACTTGATGGCATCGGCACCCTTCTCGGCAACCATGTAGACTGAATTCTGGATCCGGCAGTCTGGAATGACGGGGATGACCGAGGCGTCGATGACACGCAGATTCTTGATTCCGTGGACCCTGAGGCGAGGATCCACAACCCCTTGTTCGATGCTCTTTGACAGGCGGGCTGTGCCACAAGGATGGAAGGAAGTCTGAGACCGATCGAGCACGGTTCTCTTCATGGCCTCATCATCGTCCAACGGCATCTCCCAGGGATACTCGTCCTCGACAATATCCTTGAAGCCGTCGCCATGCATGAGAACGTCATAGGCGTATCGGATGCCCTCCCGAATGGCAATGATGTCCAAGTCATTGTTGAAGTAGTTCAGGTTGATGTTGGCCTGCTCCAGTGGGTCGGTGCTGTTGAGTGTAACCTCTCCGCCCTCCGAGACGGGTCGAACGAGGTCAACCATGACGGTCATGTAGCTGCCCTTCCTAGGGTGGGGGAAATGCCACTGGAACGCACTGCCAAACAGGGGGATGAAATCAAGTTCAAAGTGAGGTTGTCCGTACGGGCAGAATGGATCACGGCCCCCATTAGCAGCCTTTGCGGCACAGTACTCAGGAGATTTTTCAAGGTAGCTGTCGATGCGAGGGAAGCCAATCATTTCGAGGAATGGCGAGGCCATAGGGCCTGATTGCTCCTTAGTGTATTCGTCCCGAGCTTCGTCCTGGCAACGACCGCTGCGTAGGACTTGGCTATCCATGGAGAAAGAGTCCTTGACCCGAAGGGCAAACGGAACTCCGGGGTGGTCCAGAAGGTGCTGGCCAACGTGGGGGGAATCCACGATGAGCTTGATATTGTGTCGAGCCAGTTCTGCAGCCGGGCCGATGCCGCTAAGCATCAGGAGCTTGGGGGTTTCAAAGACACCCTGGGAGACAATGACTTCACGTGTGGCATAGAAGCTCATCTCCTGGCCACAGCCGTTGATGACCGTCACACCCTTCGCGCAACGATCGGCACAATCAACGATGAGGCATTTGGAAAACACTTCAGAAAGGACGGTGATGTTGGGTTTGCCGACAAGAGCGAGGAAGCTTCCGCATCGCCGACCTTTGTAGATCGTGTTGACGCTGTGAGTAAGGCCGCGCATTTCGCCATTAAAGATGTCCTCGGTGACGGGCTCCCCGGTGGACTTCCAGGCCTGGACAAGACGCTCACGGAATTCCTTCATCTCGGGTAGCAGCTCGGCATGAGAAACGGGAATCGGGCCGCCGGCACCAATACACTTGAGTTCGGGCGGGAACAGACCTTCATCGTCATAGTAGGTAACGCTCTTCCGGAGGTATGGGACCAAGGGATCCCAAGTCCACTCCTTGCCGCCATACTCCTCCCACATATCAAAGGTGCCCTTTGAGCCTGGCACCCAGGAGAAGTAGTTCAGACACGAGCTGCCACCGAGAGCTTTGCCACGAGTGTTGGGCTTCTCGATGCGCTCGTAGTCATCGCGTTTGACCATGGTCGTCTTGAAGCCCCAATCGTACTTGGTACCACGGAGGTCCATGGCCATCGCGGGGGTGCGGATGTCCTCGTTGTCTATCGAGTCGCCAATACCAGCCTCGACGATCAGAACCCGAACGTTGCGGCTCTCCGCCGGTCGCGCGGCTACAATGTTGCCAGCAGTTCCACCGCCGACGACAATGAAGTCGAACCGAGAACCGTCCTGGACAGACATGTTTAAGAATAGGAGTCAGATAGTTGTATATGGTGGTAAATAAAGGATATAGATGGTACTGAGTAGATAGACACCAATTGAGTAGACTTCACAACGATGAGGCCTCTTTTATATTTAGCGACATGTCCGGAAAATGGAGAGAACCGCCACCTATTTGCGCAAATCGGAAGACATCAGGACAACCAGCGGGTGCAATGGCTCGGCGCAGAGGATGGAGTATACTAAATTGCAAATCCGATTATCCGTCTTGGATAATGTCATCCAAAGCAGGCTGCCTACCTGGGTGGATTTGGCCCATCCAGGTGGCGGTCGGTAAACGAAACGAGAAAAGCAGGGCACAATCCTAGACTCAGGTAGCAGAAGCAAGCTCTGGTTGCATGTTATGGTCATCATCCTCGTTATCATTGGCGTACCTCAGGGCAAGCGCATGGCTATATAACACGGGACTGTTGGGGGAGCTGATCAAAGTGCAAAGTTCTGCAACGACACACCATGGATACGCAGATGGACCGTTACTACACGCTCGCCGAAGGTATAGTAGACAGCCCGCCGGCCTTCCTCTATGTGATTCATCTGCCATCTGTAGACTGACTCTCCCTAACTCCCAGGCTGCCCCTACGGTAGCAGCACTACAACCGTGCAGTTGCGCGATGGCCGTGCCGGCCTCTCCCTGCTCCAGGACACGCAGCTAATCGAGACGCTGGCTCATTTCTCCCGCGAGAGGATCCCCGAAAGGCACGTTCATGGCGTTCTCCAGTGTTATGTTGCTGAGGCCGGAGCTAACCTAAAGCAATAGGGTGGTGCACGCAAAAGCCGCTGGGTATAGTCCTTCTGCTCTTAAGGGAGGGTATTAACCATGACCGTAGAATACTAACGGTAGCAGGGCCTACGGTGAATTCACTGTAACTGCAGACTGCTCGGACATCACGTCCGCCAGCTTTTTAAGCAGTGTTGGCAAGACGACCCCTGTGCTCTGGCGTGTGTCAACCGTTGGGCCAGAGTCAGGTTCAGCAGACACTGTGCGTGATGTACACGGCTGGGCAATGAAGCTGTACACTGACGAGGGCAATTTGGACTGGGTATTCAACAACACTGTAAGGACTCTTGACGTCAATACCCTTTGTCCCTGGTACTGAGTGAAGAAAAGCCTGTGTTTTTTATCCGCGACCCGATAAAGTTCCCGTCTCTGAATAGATCCCACAAGAGAAACCCCCGTACGCATCTTCCTGATGCTAACATGGTAAGCTAGCCTTTTGAGATGTTAGTTGACCAAGGCCCCGATGCTAACGGCTCTATAGTTCTGGGAGTACGTAGGAAAGCTCGTTGGTGGGTGGCTAGTATGCTAACAAATCGAACAGCTTCCACAACAGCAGCCCCGAGGGATTCCACCAGCTCCTCCATCTGTTCAGTGACCGAGGAACACCCGCATCTCTACGCCATATGAATGCATACAGCGGACATACCTACAAGTTGACAACCGCTGTAAGTAGGGGCCGTTGTTTTCTATTAGTTACCGCTTGTTTAGCGGCTGCTGACTTGGGGGTATCAGGATGGAGGCTTTAGATACGTCAAGTTCCACATAAAGACAGATCAGGGAGTGCGTAACTTCACTCGAGAGGAGGCTGAAACGATGGCTGGCAAGAATCCAGATTTCCTGATCCAGGACATGTTCGAAGCCATTGAGAGGGGAGAGTACCCGACATGGACTGTCTTTGCGCAGGTAATGGAGCCCGCGCAGGCAGAGAATTACCGCTGGAACATCTTTGATATGACCAAGGTCTGGCCGCATAAGGACTTCCCCTTGCGGGAGCTCGGAAAGCTTACCTTGAACCGCAATGTGAGTTTCGTATATATGCACGAGGGTACCTTTTTTATGCCTGGTTAACTGATTCTGGTCCAGCCCAACAACTACTTCACGGACATTGAACAGGCAGCGTTCTCCCCGTCGACAATGGTGCCTGGAATAGCCCCGTCTGCCGATCCAAGTTAGCATAACCTAAGTCATATTTGTTGGTGCATGCGCTTACATAAGATCTAGTGCTTCAAGCTCGCATGTTTGCCTACCCCGATGCGGCCCGTTATCGCCTTGGAGCCAACTATCAGCAACTTCCGACTAACGCGGCCAAATCCCCCGTCTACTGTCCTTTCCAGCGTGACGGCAAGATGAATTTCTCCGACAACTATGGCGCGGATCCGAACTATGTCGGATCTTCGCTGCAGCCCACCAAATTCTATCCTCAGCTCAAAAGAATGGCGCCGAGTACCATCAGTACTCTGACTGAGCACGAGAAATGGATGGGAGAAGTCTGCACCTTCACCTCCCAAGTCACTGACGATGACTTTGTGCAGCCTGCTGCTCTCTGGGAGGTGATCAAGAGGGAGCCTGGCCATGAGCAGCGATTCTATGGAAACGTAGCTGCGCACCTTTCCGGGGTCACCTGCGAGCGGCTGCGTAGTGATATATACGGTAGGGATCCCTCCATATATAGCATCCAAAAGTGTATTTGAATCAAGCTGACAGAACAAAGCATGGTTTACTCGGATCAGTCCCGACCTGGGCGCTGGTGTCGAACATGCCACCGAGGAGCTCATTGCTTCCTCGGCCCAGTGATGGAACCCAGGCTGTTCTGGAGCAAGCTCAAAGGATAATTATTACTTGGACAAAACATCTCACATGTGATGTATGGTATAATCGGATGGGCATCCGTCCAGTCCAGCTGAAACTGAGCAACACTCCCAGTGAAAAAAAAGCGAAATGTTTTTGATATCAACTTTTTCGTGTTTCATTTATATTTTAACGTTTTAGTCATCCACTGTCAACAATGCAACGTCATGTGACATGGATATTTCGTCAACGGTTCAACAACAGAAATATCAAAAATCTCCCCAAGGTCGACAACAAAGATGACAACGAAAACTGATCACAGCAACAGCTGCAATGTTAATGCTAGCATCCATACTCTGTATCATGGGTAAGACTTACGTCTTCCATCCCGATTTTGCCGTCCCTGTGCCACAGTTAGAGCCCTGTTTTATCGAGGCGAAGGGTTAAAGCGCTATCGCGTATGATTTATGATCTTCCTTCAGCCCGGCAAGAAGCAAGGCCAGCCTGAACAATGCTGGGCAAGTTTCTATCATGCCTGTTTGCCGTATTGTTTGCTCGCTATGAAGCTGCGAGGTAGGACATGTTTTGGCTACTGTTCCATCGATGACTGCACCCGCCATCGTACCGTTTCACCTACAACCCTCCAGGGGAGTTGAGAAATGCGGCTAGCCGACCTCAAAGAATGGCCATGGTGTGTACTATGGAATGTGTACGAATGCTTTAACTATTGCTCTAGGCAAAGCCATGGTACGGAGTACTCCGTATGATACCCAAAATAGAGCCTTTAAGCTTACGACCCAGCCCGAGCTTTGGGAATGGAACGAAGACCTTCGCAAGTCTTCGATCCCTCCATACTCTGTCAAGACAGTCAAGCTACACAGTCTTGCTCGTGATGATGTTTAAACTCGCGTAGTTTAAATGGCCTGTTCCTAATCATTCAGCTTCACATGAACGAACGGTAATTCCGACTTTGATTTCGTCCTGAAGAGATACTTGGTTTTGACAATCTCCTTATCTGTTAAACCTCGACAATAATTAAAGCTTTCATTGCTGAATATTGCTTATTAGGGTCTAA